GTGTCGGCCGGTGACTGATAACTCCAATCGGTTGCGGCGCGATAGCGAAGAGGAATTTCCGCGCTCGGTAAATGCACCATAATCGAGCGATGAACACGGCCGGCGTATATTTTTTTCCTGCCGGGCGAGCACGCGCGTGGCGATAAATCCCGGCCGGCGCCGCTAATTTTCGCGGAATCGTCGCATGCACGTGCATCTCTGCATCGTTACCGCTAGGACGCGCGGACAAGGATACGCGATGACATCGTAGCGGGCTACTCGGAACGAAACCGTCGCTGTTTTCCCGAACCGGCCGATCGCGTCCTTGTAACTTTTATCGGCGCGACTACGATGACACGTTTCGCGCGTGAAATTTATCGTCGCCGCCGACGACGAGGACGCTCGTATCTCGATTGCGGTACACACTGAGGCTGGGCACGAGCGGCCTTTTCGAGTATCTTCCGATGTATTCCGCTGATTAAAGCACGTTAATTTTCTGCCGCGCGCGCGAGATGCGTTTTTACGACGGCGGGCCGGCGCAAAATTATTAACCATTAAAACGCCGGGAGATCCGAAGAAAGCTGATACGCCTCGTAAATTCCACGGCGCCCGTTTCGTTTTAATACGCTCCAGGATAGTTATTATTATTATTATTATTCTAAATACGCGGTCGCGCGTTTTCGACGTATTCCGTAAAAGAGCGCGACGACGGCCGCGAAATAATTAACACTCGAGCGGCGCGGGAACGAGAACAAGGGGACGGCGCGGGGGGATGCGAGACGCGTCGCGGCGAAAATAATTTCGCAAATTGCAATCTGATCGGAGAAAGTTGGTCGCTCTTAAAATCATGCGTATTCCCGGCTAAAGAATTTCGCGTTCGGCAAAGGGATAAAGAGTGTACTTCGTTTACAAAATAACGCACAGGTGGTTTGGAAGCCGCGCGAGGTTTATTATTACCGTCTCTCGAATTCGCGAATTTCAATTAATGCGGTTTTATACCAGGGCGCGATTCCATTAACATCATGATTTACACTTAATTAACCCGCGGATCCCCCCCCGACGTATAAATGTTTCGCCAATTTCCGATTCGCCGATCGATCGGCCGCTCACGTTCGCCGAAGATAGGGATATTTTCGTCGGGAGCGCATCTATTACGACGTATATCCTTTCGAAAAGGGAAAGAGAGACGGAGAAAAAGAGAGGAAGGGTAGAAGAGGGGGGGGGGGGAGAAGAGATCCTTCGAGTAGAATCCCTTTGCGAAGTTCGTCTACGGAGAATTTCTTCGTGAGCTGCATTTACAAAGAGTTCAACTACGAGGTACATTAGTCGAGATTATATCCGGCAAAGGAAGTCGACCAACTTTCGAAGACACTGTTGCAACTAAATCTCTTCGAATCTGGCGACGTCCAAAGATGTCGAAGTTCCGCGTAGTCAGCAACAAATACACCAAACGCAACATGGTGGATCGTAAAACGAAAAGTATGCACCCGCCGCAAGCTTTATTGCGAATGAGATACGTCTCGTAGATATGCATCTTCTATGAATGGAATGAAAACAACCGAGTCCTATCTCTCCAGCTGGCGCCAAAGTTGTTTTTAGAAAAGACGCAGGCTCTCTCTCTTTCTCTCTCTATCCCTCTTTCTCAGTCTCGCGGGACGGAGACACAGTCCGACATGTCCCGTCGTGTTACCTCGCACGCTTAAATTTTCAAAATAAATTTATCACGAGCGCGAGATTTATTTGCCGCGTAATGTCGTATTACGAGTAATTAGTTGGACGATGGAGAAGAATGACCCAGTATAAAGACCGCCTCGGTAATTGATTTAGAATGAACAAGCGTCCCCGCTCTTCCTCGCTATTATACTTGAACATACATGTGCGTGTGTGTGTTGTATTGCGCAAATAACGACAGCTGCCTGAAAATGATAACAATCATAGGAGAGCGTAATGTACTCAAGAGACAACATTATCTCCAATACCGTATTACAAAAATACACAATGCGTACAAGACAGGTCAAATGGACGTAGTGATATATTTCGATGAACGACGTAAATCGCTAATGTCGTATCATTTCTGCCGGATATAAATTTCGAAGAATACATACAAATACACACACACACGCAGAGTTGTGACAACTACGTAGCCACGTAGGAGTCGCGGCGGAGTTGTCCGCTACTGGCCGGCGATAATTCGCGGTCTTCCGACGGGCTGCGCGATCTGAGAAATCGGAGCTGATTAACGGCGCGGATAGTTCGAGAAAAGACGCCCGGTTATCGCTTTTGCGGCTCCATGCGGCCGAGACGGCGTCCCGGCGATGTAATGAGTTACGGCGTCACGTCGGATTTGCAAGTGAGACGAGTCAACCAGTTGCTTAGTTCGGGATTGTCTTTCGCCGCTCAAAGCGGCCGGTTACACAATACTCGTTCCCGATTTATCGTTCCGATTTATTCGTTTCTCCTGTCTCGCTAATTACTTTCCCATCGCGGGGATCCCGGAGGGGGCGTCCGACGACTTTCGCGCGCTGGACCGCCGCGTGTATACGCGCGTATGAGTTACGTCGCATCTGCAAGTGAAAAGAGTCAACCAGTTGCTCCGTTTGTGTCCCGCCTTTCGCGTAGTCACTCGGATTCGAGCCGTCGGCTCGACTTCTGCCGCCTTCGACTCGCTCTCTCTCTCTCTCTCGCACTCCACTGTTTTATTAATCACCGCGCGGATTTGCAAATTGAAACGCTCGACTCTCCGCCGAGCGGAGAGTGTCTTCGGGTCTCTCGTGCTCTCGTCCCCGGCGGTGAAACGACGTCGGTTATAGCGTGCGAGCTATCGGAACGTCGCATCTTCTTAATTGCTCTTATATTATAAAGTATCTCGCGGGACGCACGAGGGAAAAGGAGACGAAATGGGGGATGTGTACGTAGGAATACGTATCTGCGTGAGGAGGTAACAGGAGTGCGATACACGAGGAAAGGAGGCAGGATACGTTGGCAGATATCTATCATACGATCGGGTGGAGCAGCTGCTCCGCCGCCGTCCGCAGGCGCGTTGCGCGCTCCTCTAACACTTTATGATTTTATAATAGAGATCCCTCTCTCTCTCTCTCTCTTTCTCTCACTCCCTCTCTTTCTCTCTACCGAGGCGCGCGCGATGCAAAATGACAAGGTAATCGTGATTATAAGCTTATAACGCGTCTGAATCGTCTAACCGTGCCGACGGAAAGGTGCTCATCGTTATCTCTTAATTGACGACGTGGCCTCTCACGGGGATAAACCGCGAATGTAGATTCGCGAGCCCTGCAGTGAAGCTCGCTCGATAACACTCGAGAGCGACGAGATATATAATGATGACCGTTGCGCAATGTAATGTCGTTTGCGCGATGCGAGACCGCGAGCTGAAAGCCGTGTAAACAATTTAGAGGAGCATTCCATCGCGCGCCGCGTCCTGCAACACTCGCGTATATCGCGGCTTTTCCATCTTTCTTTTTTATTCTAATAAAAAAAAAGACACCATTTGGCGAATCGCGCGCTCGTTCGTTGGGTATATGCGGGAAATGGATGCCACGCGCGGCATTGTTTCCGAGAAGCAACTGCGAATCGCTAACGTGAACGCTACGAGGAAAATGAGCGACAGAAATGATTATTTGCCGAGTTCTCTCTCTCTCTCTCTCTCTTTCTCTCAAGGCGATGGATCGGATGTTACTTAAGAACATCATAATCGCGAAGGATAGCTCGAGCCGAAGGACATCCGAGCAAATCGCATAAACTCGATACCTGATCGCTCAGAATATCTTTCGTAACACACGACGTTTCGTCGCTCAACACACTTGAGGCAGCTGGTCCGTCAAAACATTTTCCTGGAAATTCTTTCAAATTTTAGCTGCATATCGATAAAAATACTGTCTACACGTCTGCAACGTTCGAAAACGACTGACCATACGGAAGCTGAGATATTCGCAGTTAAAGATGACATTTTTTTACGTATTCCTTGAAATAAACGTCCTACTTTTAATTTCTTCTAAACCACATTTAGGATTTTAATGAAATGTGATATTAGGAACTAATGTAGAGACATTAACACAAAAGTGTCAGAATTATTAACCTTTTGTTTTGAAAATATAACCTTACACTAAGAAAAAATACTATTTAAAAATATATTTATAGGATATAAGGTTTATTTCACAGAAATAAGATTTATTTATAGGGTGAAACTTCACAGAAATAAACCGTATTTCTATAAAATAAATTTTATTCTCGTGAAATGAACCTTATCTCCCACAAATAAATTTTTAAATTTATTTCCCCAGTGCTGGGAAATTACAATTTATAGTGATACATGTAAATATACACACATATTTCAATATTTATACCATTTTCTGGGGCACTTCTATTAGTTTAATTGATGTATAAATAAGATATTAATAAGAAAAATAGAAAATAAATAATATCTCCGTATTTGTAATATTGTGTATATATTTGTCTTAATTTCGTTCAAAATTAACACTTATTACTTAGATATTTGAGTAAAAGTTGTAGGAAGAGATGTGCTTGTTTTCAATAAATAATAAACTTATGCAGGAGCGCTTAACATCGCTGCTGAAAACCCGGGACTCTACAGACCGACTACCTTAACGTTGCGGCAAGAAGGAAGACGCGCGAAAGATCGAAGTCAATTTGAAAATCATCTACGGGCAAAACGAGGAGGTACGCGTTGCGGACAATCGACGAACACTCTAAGACTAATCCTTCCAAGTAACTACGGGTGCAGCATCGGTTAATCGCCGATCGATCTCGCTTCTTTTCCGCGAGCGGTATACCGCTATGCGGCACGCGAGGAAGCGGTATCTCGTCGGGACGTGAGAAGTGTCTGGATGCAAAATAAAGAGAAGGGAAAAATCATAATAAAGTACGTGCGTGCCTCCGTACGTGCTTACGTTTATACATATGTGTGTGTGTGTGTGTGTGTGTGTGTCTACGTGTACCAATGCGTGCTTACGTGCGTGCGTGAGATGTTACATATGAATATTTACCGGTAAGGTTATCACCGCGCTGCTGCGGCCATCGGAAAGAAGGCCTGGGCTGCTGCTTGCTGCGCATATCTCCCGTCCGGTGCGGCGGCTGCGGGCCGCTCGCTTTTCAAACGATCGGAGACCACTACTTACCTGAAAAAGAACAAGACAAAACAAATTCCTTTAGCGATACACGTCAGATCGGAAACGCAATCACGAAAACGCGTCCGTTAGCGCACCACTGCCGAGAGGGACTTATGAGCGATCAAATAACCGGATCGTGCGTTCGCGTTATTAATGTCAGTGTGAAATAAATAGATAAATATCAATATACGCGAGAACGCGCGTGATAATTTCCTACGAGTGCGATTTCGCATCCAAAAGTCGCGCGTTTATTTCTCTTTCTTCGACTTCAGATGTCTCGGCGAGATCGCGGCCGATTTCCGCGTCGAAAGGGTAATTCGTCGACTTGTACCGAACTGTTCTCTAAACGGAGAATCATACGGTTTTTAGCATAAAGTAAAATATCGCAGAAATAACGCTATATAGTTATAATAACAGGGTTATGATGACTGTAATTCTAATAGTTTCAACTTCTCATGTGTACGTATGAGAGACTAAAAATCGCGCAATGGTAAAAAAAAAGGGATAAAATAAAATAATAATAATTAATAGTGAGATAAAATAAAAAATATAACAGTAGAATAAAATAAATAATAAAGTTTTCAATCCAGAACAATGTCTCTGGAATTCCACTCTAGGAAATTGTACAACATATTTGACGCCGACTGTACATTCTTAAAATTTCCCGACCAAACAGCCCTCTCCCTCCCTCCCTTTCTTCATCGTCGCTCCACTGTTAGCTTAATTTCCATCATACATGATACACGTGCGTGCGACCTTTGAGGCAGCTTATATCGATACAGGCGAGCGATATATATCCCGCCGCGCCTGATCGCGCGGCATCGGGAAAATCCGCGCTTTTTCACGACGAATTTCCCAATCGACGCGACGCTCTCGCGATTCTCGAGAGGAAGCGAGCGATCCACCCTCCTCGACGGCTTTTTACGAAGGGTGCCAAACCTAGGATCGCGTCGCTCTCGCACCCCCACCGCCATCCCTTAACCACCCGGTACCGACCATCGTAACCAGCCGTATATCTTTCCGGCGTACGCCCTCGAAAGCGGCCGCCTTTGTTTCAGATATTTATGAGGCGTTTTAATTCGCACGCCGCGTCACCCAGCCGGCAGGGGGGTTGCCGAACGTGGGACAGGAGGGGTGGCGGGGGTGCCGCGCGGCGTGACGGAGCGGAGCGCGAAGGCATAATAGGCATAAGGGTGCCCCGATAAAACGCCAAGTCCCCCCCTACCCGCCTTCCCTTTTCCAGACGTAGGCCATAAGCGCAAACAAACTCTCGCTCGTATATCTCGCCTCAATGGTTTCTACGTCGGTGCGCCAGGGGCGTACTGTATCGTGCCTCCGTCGCCCTCCTTCGCTTCTCCCCTCTCCCCGAAAGCCCGCGCCACCTTCCTCCCACGCCCACCTTCGACCCTTCACGCGAGCCGAGGAAATTCCTTAACCTATATTCGAGCAATATATCGCTCAGCTGGTACTGATTTACCGTGATATTCTTCGAACGGTGGGATGCGAGTCGCCTCCTCTCAGCGTTATTCGCTCATTACGCAAGCCGAGTGAACTTCCTCCTTCGCTCTCGATGACATCGCGTCAACGAGAGTCGATTAGTCGCTTGACGCCGGGAAAAAGTCGCCGTATGACGTCTTTCGCGTCAATGATTGCTTCCGCGATCTCTCAGGTGCACGAAAATAGCCCCGAGTGACTGTTGCCGCGGCTGGTATCGATCGCGATATTGCTCATGCTCGAGATAGATCCTCAGCTTAGTTCGTAGGCATCGGGCAAAATAATGATTCCGATCGAATTCTTTCTTTCTTTCTTCCTTCCCTTCTCAATCAAGAGGATGCGTGAAATCTCCGAAAGCTACATGTTTGTGTCGCACCACTTACACGGACATCACACCGAAGTACGCGTGTGTGGGAAATTTTTATAATCGTAAGTCGTAAATCCATTAAACCGAAACAGTCTCTCGAAAGGTTTTAACATTTTTTTCCCAGCTCCAGCGAGACAATCGATACGAATATCGCCGGTACGATCGCGTTAATGAGTCTCGACTAAGTGCACGTTTTTAGGAGCACACTACATTCGTCTCTCTGATCCACGATCCAAGTCCGTACGTCCCTTTTACAACAACACCGACGTCTCCGTCCACCTTCCATGGTCTTCCAACGGCAACCACTTCTACCTCACCCCCCTCAGCCCCGTGCCACGACACGCTGGAGAGGCAGCCGCACTCCTGCTCATGCTCTTCTTTACGTGCAGGCGAGTTTAACAGTAACAGTACGTCACCCTGTCACTCTTTCCCTCCCTCTTCCTCCCTCGATCTCACTCTCCGGCCCTCTCTTTCTTCTCTCCTCGCAGCGTCTCGCCCTATCACCCTCTCTCGCTCTTTCTCTCCCTTCAGGCAGCTTTCTCTCTCGCGCTCTCCTTAACAGCCTTCACTCTCTAAAAGCCTGGGTGTGATCTATGGCGGGACGTTGCGTCACTCGGGGAACAGATGCAGGGCTCGTATATTACTCGGCCATATCTACGAGCAAGACGGCAAAGAAGGGAAGGGGCGGGCAGGAGGGGGTGCGGAGAGGGCGAACCTTGCGCACGGTCAAAAGAATGGCGAACGTCACAAATCACTCGGCTTTGTGTCACCCAGCCCTCGGCCGAATTTTTTCCTCTCCCCGTGGAAAAGAAAATTTACTTGTTGACGAAGAGATTCCCGCTAAACGCGCGGACCGTTCGAAAAATTGGATTTTCCGCCGCCGTGGAATTTCGCCTCGCACACTCCCGCAATAACGCGCCGTCGAACAGAGCAGGGTTTAATCTGCCGCGATGAAATGTACAATTGGACTCGACGTCGCTTTAATTGCGTCAAAGTTCGCGCGCCCCCGAAGATGCGAAATATTCCAACGCGCTCGTCTCGAGCGTCGAACATCAAAAGGCGCGCGCGGTGACGCGCGTTCCACAGAGTTCGTAGATTGCGCTTCGTTAATGCAGCCGTGAAGTTGCAAAAACGAGCCCTTCAGCATCAATCGAACGACCCGGCCGAAACGGTCGAATGAAAAAGACAATGGCGTACCGGCTGATGAAAGACAACCGCGGCTGTTTCGGCTGACGCAAATTGATAAGATGCCAGGCCAACGGTATCTGCCCGGAGCGATCGAAGGGCCCGCCACTGGACTAATTAGGACGCTGCTCTTGATACGTATCGCGAGATACGTACCGAAATAAGTTCCCGTTCTTGGCGATCGCAATGGACAAAAGGACGGAAATGAACGAAACACAGCGCTGGCTCTACGTGCGAGCGAACGAGCGAGAGAAAGAGAGAGAAAGAGAGGAGCGTCTTCGTGTACGTGCGCGCCCGTGGAAACACTAGCCAGCTGTCTACGCGATAGTAGTAGAGTGAGAGAAGGCGAGGGAAACCAGCAAGGGCGAGAGAGGGAGACCGAAAACGCGCGCGTCGCTAGAGTAGACGCTTCCAGAATCTCATAAATCAGGTCAGGGTTGGCGACGGGGGTGGCTGCCGCCGTGGAGGTTGCAGCGAGAGAAAGCGAGGCGGTGGCTATAATGCGGGAGGGTTGTTAGGTAAAGGTCGACGCACAACAGTCCCATGCCGGCGGCTCTACGGCGACGTGCGCGCGCATGCCTCGTAAAATGCTTGGCGCCAATTCCATTCAACGGAATGGATTCGTGTGACGAAGGGATAACTCGAGTGGGATCTTCTCGGGAGCGTCGCGCAGCCGGCGACCGCGCCGCTTTCCCCTTACCGAGAGAGACCTGCGCTCGCTTTTTCGCGCGATGTATCTAGGACGAAAGCGCGCTCGTTACTTATTATCGTCGCGTCTGCGTAATATCAGGCGCGAGAGCGCAAAGCCAATTTGAGGAAGGCGCAAAAAGAATTCGCGCACACGCGTCGATCGATACGACTCGGCGAGGATACACCGAGGAGCGGGAGGGACCCCAGATGGAATCAGTGCAGTTCGGAATATTGGAAAACGTCGGTTCGTGCGAGAGGCTGAAGGAGAGGAAGACCGGAAGACGGCGGAGTGCGAGTAGGGCACTATTTATGACGCGTACGTGAATTCTGGGAACACTGAGGATACGCCGTGTTCGTGTCGCAGCATCGCCGAAGAAAAAGAACAACGGGCGCGCTCCCGACGAGAGAGAGACGTGAACAACTGGCCCAAGGTTCCACACCGAGGGCGTGAGACACGCCGAATTCAACCGAACATGCAGCGGGAGCGTTCCAAGTTTGGTGGCTAACGACGATAATAAAGCGAGAGCGTGCCTTAATGGGAAATGATAGTCGCCGCTAATCCATGTCTCTCCTCCGAGTCTTCGACAGTCCTTCCGGCTATAAAATTTCATCGCCTTCGCTCGCTCGCGAATGGGAAACTCGATAAGAACGACGCGATGACTTCTCACGACTGCCAGTGCTAATGATTTTTCGACGAGCACCGGGGCGAGTGCAGTAGAGCGAAAAAAATATAAGAGAGAGACATTTGTCTGCGCGATATACCATTCTTTGCAAAGTTGATGAATATTCCGAAAAAATGACGCAGCGTCCGTGACAGTTGCAGAACCGATGCCTAAGTTGCATTTCACGTCAAGCACGACTCTGTTATTTTTGTCGAAACTTTCAGACTCTCCTTCTCTCTCTCTCTCTCTCTCTCTCTCGTGCACGCGCATGATTCGCAAGAAATACAAAACACGCAGCGACGAGGAACGAAAGCGGGATCGTCCTCGACGCAAATCGAATATGAAAGTCGGGAGGCGAGGGTAAGGTCGAAAATAGCGGGAACGTTTGACACTCTCGCGACGTCTCTTAAAGCTATCGGACGTTCAACACGAATCTCAAAAATAATGAAAAAGAAATAACGAGAGAGAGAGAGAGAGAGAGAGAAAAAGGGAGGGAGAAAGTGCGCGGATCGAGAATAGTGTTGCGAACTCGCTGCCCCTCCGGAGAACCGTCGCGTTAAGGGCGTCCGACAGATCAAAGCCGCGAGATGCGGAGGAAAGGGTGAGGACTC